AGTACAATGAGTTCATTCTTCAAATATTCCGCATATGTTTTACGATAAGTCTCCTCGTTCGAACAGTTTCAGTGTACGAACAGTTTTGTGCAAACAGAGACGTGCGTACTCTTTGTTGTGTTAATCCATGTGTTAATTGATGCATGCAGTCAACCAACGCAGTATCTTTGGCAACGATATTTCGCTTCTTTACTGTACGATTTCGTGTTGCCCCCATTATCTCCCTTTTGAACACGCAGCGAAACATTTTAAAAACTTTGGGAAAGATCATAACACGACTCTTGATTTCTCGAGACGGACTTCAAGCTTTTGGCGATAAATAAATTTGTTTTAAATTTCCTGTCTGTTTATGCCCCCGCGCAGCGTGGCGTCGCACGGAACGGTCGCACGCAAAGGTTAAGCGTTGAATTGCATGATGTGCGCGTGATTCAGCTCACTTTACACTAGGGAGCTTTAGATTTGACTACGAGTACGACTACGAGTACGAGATTTGATCGCGTGCGAGGAAGTTACCGTAGTCGTTCTCGTTTCCATTCAAATGTTGCTTTTATAACAGTAAATCAACAACGAGAGAAAAAGTTTCATTAACTAAATCTCCTGCTGATTAAAATCCCTTACAAAACGTGTAAATAAGTCATAACATTAAAAACAGGCCAGATATTTAGTACTAATATATTATTTGAGCCGGATAAACGCTATATAAATGCTACAAATTATTTTTGGAAAACAAACAAAGCCAACTTTCTTTGTTTTTTTTGAAAAGTCGTCGTGGGGACTACGAGGTTTCTCCACAATTTCGTACTCAGAGAATGAACAACGAGAGAATTTTATGACCGATTGGCTTGACGATGAACCCTTATTACAAGTTGGTCGTGGACAGAAAAGATCCATCGATGAAGTGAATGACGGTGCAGGAACATCTGAACAGGTTAGCGATAACTTTTTTACCGTATCGAATGTTAAGCAAGTTAAAGTGAAAAAGTTCAGCACAACTGGTATGGATTATACAGTTCAATTTATGGACACGTTTGCACATTTGGAACTTTCTCAATACCACGACCGTCTTCATGAAATATTTGAAAGTTTATTGAATACTGTCACGCAAGATATTCCTATGCAAGATCAAGTTCGTTTTGTGTTGTGTTGCAATCGCCTCAACTAGAAACTCCCATTTCTCTTCTTTTCTTGCCTCGTCAACGTCTTACAACTGAGCGGGTGTTAGCTGAAATTGAGCGTGTGATTCAATCTAATCATGAATTTCGTTTGAATGATAGTGTCAATGTCAATTTAATCCATGTTGAAATGCCCAACGGCGGAACCGGCACGAAGCGAAGTGAAATTAACTTGGAAAAACATTTGGCCAAAAAAGGCTCAATTATTCGGATCCAAAACACGGACGACATTTGTTTAGCTCGTGCTTTAGTTGTTGCCAGGGCCAAAATTGAAAACGATAGTCGGTATTATCATATAAAAGATTATCGGAGACCGCTGCAAGCACGTTTGGCTCGAGATTTGCACCTTCTTGCGGTTTAGACGAAGTCAAACAATTTCAAACTCATCTGTCTGATTTTCAAATTAATATAGTTTCAAAAGAACATCAAAATTCCATCATTTTTTCCGGTCCCGAAAAAGACAAAATGATTTATTTATTTTGCATGATAATCACTATGATGTGATTACGAGTATGCCGGCCTTTTTTGCCAGAAAACGGTATTGTCATACCTGTAAAAAGGGGTATGATAAAGTTATTGACCATTTGTGTGCTGACGCATGTAAATCATGTCGTTTTCCAAATTGTCCAATTGTTTCGTGGCTGCCTTGTGCGGATTGTATGCGTGTTTTTAAAAGTCAAGAATGTTTCGATCGACATAAACAAATTGTAGGCAGTGCAAAATCTATTTGTGGTTCTTTAGTAAAATGTCCTGATTGTCATACTGTTGTAAAACGGGGTAGATTGAGGCAGCATCACTGCGGCTTGAAGCCTGGAGAATCATCCGCCTGGAGAATCATCAGTGTTACATACAACCTGAGAAAGAGAGAAACACGGCCGTCAGCGAGGACACTGACCTTCTTGACACCGAGGCACATGACGGAGATGATGTCCCTCAAAGTGGGTACAGCGAACTGCTATTTTTCGACTTTGAGTGTCGCCAAGAAAATGGAAATCACGAACCCAACTTGTGCGTAGTACAAAACGAAGCAGGAGACGAGTGGGTATTTGAAGGAGATAATACGAAGAATGAATTTTGTGAATGGCTTTTTACAAAGGAACATGTAAACTGTATCGTGTTGGCTCACAACTTTCAAGGTTACGACGGTTACTTTATTCAGCAGTACTTACACGAGAATGGCGTAATTCCCGAAGTCATTCCCGAAGTCATTCCATGGTGCCAAGATCCTAACGTTAAATGTTCCAATGTTCAAGATTAAGTTTGTCGACTCTCTCAGTTTCATACCGATGAGACTCGCTGATTTTCCAAAAACGTTTGGTTTGAACGAACTCGCGAAAGGATACTTCCCTCATCTGTTCAACACAGCCGAGAATCAAAACTACGTTGGACCCCTACCCCCGAGTCCATTTTACCATCCTGATGGAATGAGTCCTGAGGAGAAAGAAAAGTTTTTGGAATGGCATAATGGTTTGAAAGAGAACAATTACGTGTTCGACTTCCAACAAGAGATTTTGACTTATTGTCGATCTGATGTGGATATATTACGCCGTTGCTGTCTAGAATTTCGCGAGTTATTTCGTGGTGTTACAGACATTGATCCATTCGAGAAATGTCTCACTATTGCATCGGCCTGTAATCTTGTTTTCCGAAAGAACTTCCTAAAAGAAAACACCATAGCCATCATTCCCCCTCACGGTTATCGTCCCAAAGACAAGCAATCCCTCTTGGCTTTAAAATGGCTTTCGTATAAGGCTGAAAAAGAAGACCTCTACATTCAACATGCCCGAAATGCAGGAGAAAAGCGTGTTGGCAACTATTTACTGGACGGTTATGATGAAGAAACCAACACAGCCTACGAGATCAATGGGTGCTTCTGGCACGGTAAGTTAACTCGAATAAACGCCTCCTTCGAATAAACACCTTGGAGTAAAATTATATTATTGTTTTTTTACAGGATGTTTGAAATGCTATGCGCGGGACACGATAAATCCAGTCAATGGCAAGACGATGCAAGATCTTCATCAAGCCACAGTGGAGAAGATGAGTTACCTGAAGGATCAAGGTTTCAGGGTGTGTGAATTCTGGGAATGTGACATCAGGAAAGAAATGGAACAAGATCAAGATATGAAGTGTTACTTTAAAAGCTACGATCTGGATAATCCTTTGGAACCACGTGATGCCTTCTTTGGTGGACGAACTAACGCCGCAAAACTGTTCCACGAGTGTAAAGATGGTGAGAAAATCAGGTAAGATGTAATAAAAATGATAAGAACAGTTATGACGTCAGAGCAAATATATTGATGACGTCATTTTTCACTTAGGTATGTGGATTTTACGAGTCTTTACCCATGGTGCAACAAAATGACGCGGACAGTTGTTGGCCATCCCCGCATCATCACAGAAAATGTTGAAGATATTTCCACTTACTTCGGCTTGATTAAATGCACGGTGCTTCCACCTCGAGGTCTTTTCCACCCGGTCTTACCTTATCGAACTCAGGGCAAGTTGATGCTCCCCTTCTGCAAGTTGTGTGCCGATTCGTGCAACCAGACCCCTTGTACCCATTCCGACAACGAAAGAGCCATTCAAGGAACGTGGTGTAGCGTGGAGTTGGAGAAAGCATTGGAGAAAGGCTACCAAGTCCTGCAACTCCACGAGGTATGGCATTTCCCTCAACAATCGGACGAATTGTTCAAGGACTACGTGAACACATTCCTTAAAATCAAACAAGAGGCCAGTGGTTACCCAAAGGACCGTACTACGGAAGAGAAGAAACGGCAGTACGTAGAAGAAGAGTATCTTGCAGTTGAAGGAATACAGTTGGATCGAAGCAAAATCGAGCACAATCCAGGCATGCGTGCGTTATCCAAGCTCATGCTAAACTCGTTTTGGGGTATGTATTTTAAACAGTGCATGTATTCTAAACTTCTTTTAGGTGGCATCCGAACACGTGCAACGTTACCGCTACAAATACTCATAATATATTTTTCGCCATAGGTAAATTTGCACAACGTCCCAATATGACCAAAGTCGAATTGATCAGTGACGTGCAAAAGTACTTTGACTATCTGACGTCCGACGAAATCAACGTGCTCGACGCAAATTTCATAAGCGATGAAGTAATTGAGATCCACTACGAAAACAACGAAAATTTTATAGCGCCAAATTCCAAAACGAATGTGGTCATCGCCGCTTTTACAACCGCTTATGCCCGACTCAAGCTTTACGGAGTGCTGGACGAATTGCAAGAAAGAGTATTGTACTACGATACTGACTCTGTGATATTTGTCAGTAAACCGGGAGAACCAGAGCCTCCGATAGGTCCATATCTCGGTCAACTCACTGATGAATTAAAAGAAGGGCACATTACAACCTTCATATCGGGAGGACCTAAAAATTACTGCTATCGGACCAGTTCCAACAAAGTAGAAACAAAGATACGCGGTATCACGTTGAATTGCACCGCAAGGCAAGAGATGAACTTTGACGTTATTCGCTCATTGGTGTTCCTCTATGCAAAATGTAATGTCAAGGGACAAGTAACCGTTGATATCCCGTTCAGGATAACTCGGGACACAAAGACAAAAAACATTGAAACAAAAAGAATGAAAAAGGACTACCGTATTGTATATAACAAACGTGTAATTATTGATGATTATAAAACATTACCCTATGGGTATTAACTTTGTAAATAACATAAACAGTTTGAAATAAATATTTTAACAAAGTCGCTTGATCTCAAAGTTAATTTCTGATGTTCAGTTTGTGATAGTGATCCAGATTCACCCCCGTTTCTTCTTCCAGTGTCGCGACTTGCTTTTCATTTTTTCTAGCCAAATCCCACATCAAAATTTCCTTAGCGTTCATATGATAGGTAAAGTTGTTCCCCTGAGGGGCCCGAGGTACTGTTACACCCGTTAATGTTTCCAACATGATTTGCGTCAACATGATTGAGTGCAATGTCGGATTGTCAATAAGCGTTGCGGGTATCATATTCTTTTCTATCAAAAGCTTCATCAAATCCAAAGTTGCCAAATTTCCATCTTGCGTTAAGAATTTGTCCGAAAGCCAATGAGTTACGATGTCTCTCCAAGCCATGTTGTTTCTATCAAATGCTTGTTTGATCTGATCAAAAATTTTAAAAGGTACTGGGTTTTTATATATTTGCTCACGTGACAATTTGCATTGTGTCGACGCTGTACGTTTTTATAGGTTACAATAACTGAAAGGTCTCGTGTTTCAACGCTCGTCTGTGGTCCACGCAAAAAACGGGTTTCCAATTGTCCGCATTATACTTGATCAATTCGTGCACTTTCATTTCGCTCAAACGTCTAGTAAAAGCTTCAATGACTTTCGTTTCCGAAGCCTTTTCCAAAGCATAGTCAAAGTACAAACATAACTGTACGTCCCTTTCCATCGTAAGACATTGATGATGCGTTTGAGACAGATGCTCTGTCATGCATCCGTTACAATTTTCAACAACGAGCTGAGAGATGATAGGAGCTATTTCTTCAGCTGAAATTTTCAAAAGTTTCTTTACGATAAGCTTTTGGCGATGATGGAGAACTAATTCCTTATTGTCAATGTCGATAGGCTCAGCACGAAACATGTTTGATCTTCACTTGACTGTTGACCGTTTCTTTCAAGTGCAAAACGTTTAAAGTCGCACGTACCTATAAAAATCTTTTCATATTAGAGCGTACGTCATGGGACACACTGCCAGCAAAAATCCGAAGATTAACAAAGATCATAATAAACAGAAAATGTTTAGAATCGGTATAAGTGTTGGACGAAATGATTTCAATGTTGAGGGACATTTACAGGCGGGGTACAGCAGTAAAACCATTAAGAACCGTTGAAAATACGTTGACAAACCCCTTGAAAATACGTTGCCAAAGGATGATAGCATTCAAAACGTTGAAGAATAAAGCGAATCCCTCATTTCATGTGTGAACATGGACGAATACCTATCTAGCGTCTATTACGATCCAAAACGTCCTGGAGGATTTGGCAGAGTGGATCGTTTGTATGATGACGTCAAAAAGGAAGGAAAGTTTGCGATAAGTCGTAAGAAAATTAATGAATGACTGATGAAACAGGATGCGCATACGTTACATAAACCTATGCATCGTCACTTCAGACGAAATCGCGTCATCGTAGGCGGTATCGATCAGCAATGGCAAATGGATCTGGCAGACATGCAGTCCATGCAAACATTTAATGACAGTTACCGTTATCTGCTCGTGTGCATCGATGTCTTTTCCAAATATGCATGGGTAGTCCCGTTGAAAAACAAAACGGGTCCAACACTGGTCGAAGCTTTCAAAGTCATTTTGGCATCTGGACGCAAACCCCTGAAAAGATCATGACCGATCAAGGAACAGAGTTTCTAACAAACATTTTCGAGCGTTGATGAAAGAAGAAGACATCGAGCTGTACAATACGTACAACGAAACGAAAGCTTCTATCGTGGAACGTCTCATTCGTACTCTAAAGACTAAAATGTGGCGTTATTTTACGGCCAAGAAAACCATGAGATACGTGGACATGTTACCCGATTTGGTCTATTCTTACAATCATAGTATTCACCGTAGCATAAAGACAAAACCCGCGGAAGTAACTACTGAAAACGAAAAGAAAGTGTGGCACACTCTGTATGATCATGACGCCGTGAAAAATGTAAAGTACAAGTTTAAGATTGGTGATCAAGTTAGAATTAGCAAGATGAAACGAACGTTCAAAAAAGGGTACTTGCCAAATTTCTCAAAAGAGATCTTTATTATAAGCAAGCAAATACCTCGCGATCCTCCAGTATACAAACTAAAGGATCTGGACGGTGAAGAACTCAAAGGAAAGTTTTACAAACAAGAGCTGCAAAAGGTGATCAAAGAAGATGACGTGTACGAAATTAACAAAATCTTGCAGAAACGTGGACGTGGCAATAACGTACATTATCGTGTAAAATGGTTAGGGTACCCAAATAAATTTAATTCATGGGTATCCGCTTTTGAAATAAATAAGATTTAAACCATTGAACGTGTTGTCTGTTTGTTATTTTCATTTGTAACTCACAATGAGCGGAACACATTTTTACCTCACGCTTCCTAGCAATGCATCCTCAGACATCTTTCCCGATAACAAGACGACAAGTTATCGAATCAAATTACCTCAAGCTATTAATTTGAGTGGTGAATGGGAAGTGGGTTTGTATTCAATAAACTACCCTCGGACATGGTACACTCTTGGTAATTTTGATACCCACATTTATACCTGTGATCAGAGTGGTCTTTTCAGTACTGCCATAATCGATTATGGCTTTTATGAAACAATGCCTGATCTGGTGAAATCTGTTAATAAAAATCTGGCAAAAGATGTGAGCGATAACATTAAGTTGACATTCAATGTTCGTACAGAAAAAGTTACGGTCCATTTAAAAAACAAGTATCAATTGGTTGTGACTAACAAAATGTCAATCGTGTTGGGGTTTGGTAGAAAAGAAACGAAAATAGTGAAAACGACAACAAGTCCTTATGCAGCTGACTTGCATGGATTCATGGCTATCTATGTATATTGCGATATTGTGCAACCTCAAATTGTCGGAAATACCAGTGCCAAATTACTCAGAAGCATTCCAGTCCAAGGAAAGTTGGGTGACGTCATTACTAAAACGTTCACAAACATACAATACATTCCAATCCAAACCAAATCCTTTGAAGATGTGGAAATAGTTTTAAGGAACGACACAGGCGATCCAGTGCCATTTGAACGGGGCAAGGTGGTGACGACACTACATTTCAGACAGCGTAGTTACTTCACCTGAAAAGATGAATAATCCTTACGTACGCTATTATTTGGATCAACAGCAAGGGCACGGGATGCCTGTTTTTTCAGGTAGCCCTTGGCAAGCCGGTTATGGTCACCAGATGGGCTATGGAATCGGGGGTCTGTTTCGCAGCGTGGCAAGAACGGTGATGCTCATGGTGAAAAGTGGAGCAAAAGCTCTAGGTAACATTGCCCTGAAAAGTGGCGCTGACTTTGTGGGTGATGTTCTTGCCGGTAAAAACGTAAAAGAGGCAGCAAAAGCACGAACCGTGGAGGCTGCAAACGTTGCGAAAAGAAAAGCTATAAATAAGCTGAAGAGTCAAACAGGAAGTGGAAAACGTGCGAAGGGAACAGCTAAAAAGAGATAGGCATCAACAGCTACAGCCATAAGCAATCAGACTAAGAAACGGAAAACAGCTCAAGACATAATCGATTGAAAGCATGAATTTCGTTCATTCCAAGTCGCAAGAATGCACAAAAAGTAAACTCGATCTATTCTCTGTACCTCCGACACAGACCAGTTTAGAAAAAGGACGTTGGATAGATCATCAACCTGTTTCCAGTGTAGCTGATGGAGGTTCCATTACGTTCCTGTCTCCAGGCACTGAAGATTACGTCGATCTTGCTAAAACAATCCTCGTAGTGAGAGCAAAAGTGACGAAAGCTAATGGTGCAAATCTTGATGCAGACGAAAAGGTTAGGCATTTTTAGCTCTTTATAATTATTTGTAAATATTAAATTATCAAAATTTTCAAGAGTGTAATAAAAAATTGTTGTTGTTAAAGGTTGGCGTTGTGAACAATTTCCTACACAGCATGTTCAAACAAGTTGACGTCTTTCTCAAAGAAAAGCAAGTCACTCAAGCTACTGGGACGTATGCGTACCGTCCTTATCTGGAAACCCTCTTGAATTATGGCTTCTCAGCAAAAGATTCCCAGCTCACCGCAGCTCTGTTTTACAAGGACACTGCGGGAACAATGGACATCGCAAATCCTACCACAGCAGGTGACGCAGGCAACGTGGGTCTTAGAGCAAGATACGTTTTCAGCAAGACAAGTGGAATTATTGAAATGGCTGGACCTATATTTAGCGATGTATTTATGACCGAGCGTCTCCTGCTGAGTTACGTAGATCTGAAAGTTATTTTGAATCGAAGCAGCAACGAGTTCTGTCTGATGGCCTCCGAGGACGATGTTGATTTCAGAGTGAAACTCACCGACGCCTATCTCAAGATACGTAAAGTGAAAGTCAGTCCGAGCATTTCCGTGGCCCACGAAATTACATTGAAAAAAGGACCAGCCATCTACCCCATTCGTCGAGTCGAATGCAAGAGCTTCATCGTTTCCGCAGGCAACCCCTCTCTGAGAAAAGACAACATGTTCAATGGACTTGTACCGAAAATGTTTGTCTTCGGATTGGTTGAGAGCGAGGCATTTAACGGTGCCTTCAAAAAGAATCCCTACAACTTTCAACATTTCAACGTATCATCCATTGGAATAACCGTGAATGGTGAAGAAATGCCATTTAAACCCTTGAAGCTTTCCTTTGGTGCAAATCCTAGATACATCGAAGCATTCAGCACGCTGTTCTCTGTGTATTACAACACTGGGAACGACATTTCCCGAGAAGAATTCCTAAAGGTTACGCCGTTTACGCCTTTCATTTAACATCTGATATGTGTGGTGCATCTCCTCATTTTAACGTCGTGAAAAAGGAAACCTGGCCATTGATATCCAGTTCTCCAGAGCACCCACAGTCGCAGTAAGTCTCGTGTGCTACGAAGATTTCGAGAATACCATTCATATTGATTCTGAGAGAAACGTTATCTACGATTATTCTGGTTAGATGAACACTTCTCAAATAACGCATGGTTAGAACAAGATCCTGTAACAAGCAAGAAGTTTTGCGGTGTGTTTCCTAGCGATAAGTTACCTCAGACGATCGACAGATATCCCTGTGGATTCGTCGCGAACACGGATCCAAGCAGTGAGCCTGGGACGCATTGGATCGCCTTCTACTTCCCGTCGGAGCAGAAAGAAGAATTCTTTGACAGTTACGGACAGGCACCAGATTACTATAGGGATTCATTTGGAGACTTTTTAGATAAACATTCTTACGCATGGGATTTTAATAGACGTAAATTACAAAGTGCTTGGTCAGATGTGTGTGGCCAGTATTGCATATTTTACCTTAGCCATAGAGCAAGAGGACAAAGCATGAATACGGTCGTACAGTTATTTGATAACAATACTATGTTAAACGACGCGAAAGTGTTTCAGTTTGTTAAAAATCATTTCAAAGTAATAGTAAAACAAATAAATAACCTTAATCAGTTTTGTAAAAAGATGATTCAATAAATGTTGTAAAAAATCAATATTGTGTGTGTGTCTTGATTTGTGAGCAAAACTAGTAAGCAAAAATGACAACCAATGACAGGTGAAAAATATTTTATTGAATAGAACAGTTACATGATTAATATTTATGCCAGCGTTTTTCAGTTTGTTTGCCCCCTTCACGTCGCTTTAGAAGATCTTGAAAATATTGCGATGGACTTGCACGTTGTGGGGTAAAGGGATCAGGTGAAGTATCAATTTGCTTCCATCTCTCCTTATTCCTTACGAGATCTTTAGGCATGTTCATTTTGGATAAAGCACGAAAAAACTCTCTTGACCCAGTAGGATTAAAATTTCTTCTCGACCTCAAGGCATCACTGACCAAATCAGATATGTTGGAATGGAGAATTTCTTTACCGTCCAGGCTAACTTGTCCAGATCCATCCCAAGAAATAACGTGAGGTCTTGCTTTCAATCGATTTAACAGTGCTGTATCTCTTGCACGCATGGTTTTAGGTATATGCTCGACCACGTCTGCGTCAGATAACCTTGTTTGTTCTTTGGGCTCAGGCTCTTGTTCCGTATCAGGCGCTATCCGAACGGTAGGTATTTGACCATCTTTTTGACGTCTCAAACTCAGATAACTTTCTATGTTCGCATTGTACAATTTCTGTTTTTCAGCATCGGGCATACTCGCGCTCTGAAGAATCTCCGACATCTCTGTATCTTGATGCATCATGTTGGTCATAATAGGGGCAGTCTCAAGCTTTTGCTTCTGCTCATATCTGTTAAGCACGTCTTCGGGGACCAGCACCATTCGTTTTGCATGCTTCATTTTACTAACAAGCTACTAAGTACACTTAATACGGGTGGTAAGAGAGCAGTCAATAGATTCCCACCTTTTTGATTAAGGTGCTTCTTCTTCTGTTTTCTTGACACTTTCTTATTCGCTAAAGCACGGAGATGTGTCTTGTAGCGCACCAATCGTCGCTTTTGACGCGGCGTTAGTGGGATTACGCCTTTAAGTAGATTCAGGGAACACTCGCAGATAGCCGTGATGACATTTGCAGGAACGTTTTCGATAAGCAATTTTCGCAATTTAGGTTTAGATTTCACCATGACTTGAAGATAGGGAAGACTTCCTCTCATGCGCTTTGACATCTTGCAAATGATGAATTTCCAAAACATGCGTAGCTTAAGTACGTTTTACGTAGACAATTTGTCTCTCCCCAGGCAGAATGTTGGTTCTCAATCGCATGTTCTCTGGTGTCAACTGATGGCAATCAATCATCAAGTATCCATAAGGTTTACTCGTAGCATCTTCAAACGACTCCATGAGGTAATTGGTATGTTTAGGAAACATTTGTCTGGCAAGTGTCGAGATACCAAGTGAGTCGCGAGGATTTCGGAATATCAACAAGTAGTGGGAATTAAGACTAATCGTTCGTGACAATTTACCAGGTGGAAAAAGGTTTTGGGTAAGGAATAAAACAGATATACCACGATGATGAGAGCCGCGTGTAAATAGGTCCGAGACGCGTGTATCATTTGAACATTGGGACATTAAATCATCCAAAATTACCAGCGAGTTATCGTGTCCCTCTACCATAGCATACAAGTCATTTGGAAAACCATCCACAAACTCGATGTTTGGTAGTCTCTGGGACAGGTCATCAAATTCTTTTTGATGTTCCCCATAACAGTACAAAATCTTCGTCGGAACAGGAAAAAATAGCTCTTCCAAATGATCCAGCATGGAACGAACAAGATGCGATTTCCCGCTTTGAGACTGACCACAAATGTAATAGTTCGCAGGAGTTCGAAATCTCACGTCCATCGTGTTCATGTGCACAACACGGACTGCGTTATTATTTGACGTGTCCGTTTGTTTTATAACCAGAACCGAGAAATCACTCTTCGGAAAAGACTCTCTTGGATCAAAAATTCTTTAAAATCAAAACGTTTCAAAGGGGCTGCAACCAAACGAACGGCCCTACGCGTAGTATCTTCAGAGGCATGTATCAAATAAACTAATGCCAGATAGGCTATGGCACGGCCAAAATTAGTGACATTGATCGTGTTAAAAACAACATGTATTTCACTAGGATTAACATTCAATATCATTTGATTGTACAATGATTCGTGACGCTCAAGCAGACAATTGATATGATGAGATAATGTTCTCATGTCAATGTCAACGCCATTTTTCTGTAACTCGTTTAATATTTACAATTCTATGAGAAAAAAGCTGGGCTGCATAATCAATATGTTGTTTTACTGTGTACTTTGTTGACTTGGTTACTGGGCACATCAGCGTTTATCTGTTGTACTTTCTAGTAGTTAGCGATAAGTTGTGGAGTTCATTCTTAAGTAAACTGATCAGAAATTGATTACATAAAATTATTCCAACAATACAAATCCTGAAAATTTAATATTGATGAGTAGATGCATGGGTTTGCTATAGATGGTGTTTCTTTTAGCTAATGATTAAAAGTTCTAATTAAAGTAAAGTATAAACTAAAACTTTAAAACATGCCAACTTCTCGCACTAAATGTCCATCATCAGGGCGAAAATGTTTAAAACCCTATATTCCTATACAAACATGCAAGAGTTGAATATTTATATATTCTAAAGTCCAGTTCACATATGAAAGCTACGGATTGGGAAGGATTCAACTGCTTGAAAAATGCAAAACTTCAATGTTTCGAGCGATGGCCCTTCGTCAGGAAGTTAATAGCAAATAACTTCCTGAAGAAAGACCTCGCTTGAAACGTCAATGTTTTGCTTGTGTTTTTCAAGTAGTTGAATCCCGCTCAATCCGCAACACTCTGATCAGGGGCGCACATTCGAAAAAATTTAGGGGCGGGGGTGTCCTATGTTCTTGGACCGACTTTTGTAGTATTTATGTTTGGTTAGAAAAGCTAACTATTTAAACATTCCAAGAGTTTAAATAAACGTTCAGTTTTTCAGAACTTTTGCAGTGGTCTAAACTTTCGGAGGGGGGGGGGGATTTTTATGAATTTCGAATGCGAGCGCCGCACGCGCGAGGAAAATTTTGAATTTCTAGATTCATTAGAACGCTATTACACGTATTTTAGGACAAGGTTTGAAGAAAAGTTACAACCCACAAAAAGGCATTTTTAAGTCGCCTAATTTTGTTAGATCGAAAAAATATTTATGTAAAATAAGTATTGTACACGCAAATACTCAACAGCAAAATAGCATCATGTCTTCGTTTTTGTAGAAGTCGGTCATGAGTGTTGCTTTGAGCGCAAATTCAAGTTCAAATGTGCTTTAAAATAACCATAGTCATTTTTTACTGGAGTTAGGATTCTAGGTAGGGAAGACTTCAACTTTTATTGGCAAGCAGAAGAGATGGGTATCATTATTCACACATCGTACCCCCACCCCAATTTCTGCCCGGATTTCAGCTTTCCACAAGAGCTGTCCTTATGCCCATTGCAGAACCCCCCGAGCCCCCATCTTGGCTACGCCGCTGATTTACTTCTGCCTTCCAAAGTTTCAGCTTTTACGACAAGGCTAACAACGAACAATTTTAACTGCACCGCGGGGGCTTGAGGTAATCGGATCGCATTACGTTGGCTGAACTGTTGCAACACGGAAGTTGATTATTTGCTCTCTTGGTTTGTGTCAGTGAACTCTAATTTGTGTATGTCTAATTCGTTTTTCTTATGTTTATGCAACTTCCATTTCCAGAATGTCCACCTATTACTTTTTTCGACACAAAATGATAATATCTTTCAGCTTTTAGCCGGACCGACTTTTTCGTTCCATTCAGGTTTTGGGACCGACTTTTTAGATATATTTCACAAAACATGGTGTCACACCTAATGTGCGCCCTTGACTCTGATATTATCACTAAGCTTGCACAAGTAGTTCTAGTTCACATATGCTTATTACTGCATATATGCCTATGATATAGCAGCAGAATTCGCACAGGCAAGCTGCACTCAGGCAAGTTCTGAAGTCAATATACCGCCGATAGACTGGCGAAAACTTGTCGAAACAGGCCAAATTCCGGGATTCCTTGTATTTTTGCATTCCTCTGCCTTTTTTCATTGTATTGTGGGATATATTGAGCTTATGGCATGTCGATGGTGTGTCGGGAAAGCGCATACCGCATCGAAATTGAGGGATGATGCAATACACCCTCGTGTCGCCACTGACATGCTGGGAAAGTTGAAGTGGACCAGCGATCATACCACCGATCATGTCGGTAACTGTATCATATACGATAAACCCACGGCATGCACACTTGCTGGCTACACCACAGGCACACCGCAGGCATATATGTGAACTAGGCTGAAAATGTTTAGAAGACGTAACGAAAATAATCAACTAAAATTTATAATCTAGCTTCCCCTCCAAATTGGCATTCACAAAATCCCTTCAACTGTTAGTTCTATCGAGCGAAATGGACAATCGCTATTTACCCATACCTTATACTGGCATCACCCACTATACAGTATATTTACAAGAACTTGTAGTTAGACCTTGACAACTGGACTCTGTAGCTCAGTTGGTTAGAGCGCTGCACAGGAATCGCAGGGCCGCACGTTCGTATTCATTTTTTCGCAGGTGCTCGTGGTTAGGTCTGAAAAATTGCACATAATCTTCGAATCGAAATTGCCATCTACATAAACCCTTCGATTGTTCTGTCAAGCATGTTGCCCCAATACTTCGATATTTACTCGGACCTCCTTAAGCGAATTAAGTCATGTATAAATTATACAATGGACTAATTACGCATTCAATTTACTTTGCCCGGCAAAGCAAGACAAACTTTTCCTAATTTGTCGTCCAATTGTCATCCAAATTTTACCAAAATTTTACAAATTTGTCCTTGTGCAATTTCCATTTCTTCAACAAATGTTTGATATTTTTCAAGTTGTCATGCTGTGTGTGCACAGATAGGCAGACAGACAACATAAAATAGCAGATGAAAACATGACCTCCTAGTAAATATAAACTAATGTGGATGTACTGAAAAAACCACCGGAAGTATATATTTAAGTAACCATTACCAAACATGGCTGGACAGAAAAAATACGTTGGGATGGACAGCTTATCTGCTCTGATATTGAAAAGCCCGCGAAATAACTTTTTGAATTTTCATCTAAAGCACCAGGTTACAAAACATTTGTTATGCTCGGGATTTGTTCAATTTTCCTAAAGGTTTAAAAAAATATACCTCTCCATTGGCCTTATTAATATTACTAGAAATACACGCATGCCATAACCCCTCGCCTATGTTCTCCAAGCATTGTTTTAACATGAAGTATTCGTAAATACGCCAACACTGAACGCAGGCTTGCATTGCCACGTCATGTTAGTCATGGCAACACGATAATTTTTTTAAATTTTTTTGTACAAACCTGCAAAAAGTAGATGAAATTGAACACTTTTAAATACAGAACTATCAATTTCTAAAATATATAAAGTAGGTATATTATTTTGGTTACTATGGGCTTTATTTTAATGTAAAATTCGAAACGAAACTACGTATTAAAAACGTTTTTAAATGTGAATTGAATTTTAACGGCTTTTTGCCGATATTAATTTCTTCAATTACTGGCACTTTGAAATGAAATAAATTTAATTCGTACAGGACGCTAATGAAAATAATTTGCTTTCCTTTTTATCATGAACTTCTACAAAAGTTAATTTAACTAAGAAACTTTCGTATACAATGTATAGGAAAGACTTGAACAACAAGAACAAAATCTATATTAATGATACAAAGTCATGCATACATAAACAATTGAAACAAACTTGCTATGTACTTTAAAGTTTATCATACTAAATCAATTCTTAGTTAATGTTTACCTTTAAAAATTGAAGAAAAGTTTTACAATTTGTTAGGTGAAACGATTTTCCAAGCTTTCTTACATATATTTTTTAAATTTTCCCGTTCTTCACTCCTGGCAAACAGCCATATTTTGAGATCAGTGAGATGACCACCCATACACCCATGAACCGCAATATTTTATGAACTTTAGACTTCGCTAGTGCGAAGTGCGATCCTTTTCCCGGGTGTAAATAGCCAGGGGGAATTAGTACCCTCGCATGGCGCTTCGCGCCGTCGGCTCGGGGATTATGCATACTGTAAATCTCTTCAATCCTGTTTAGTCTTCTGTTGTTAATTTGATCCATTTTCAATGATGTAATTATACCCTTTTCAATGTTTGTAGGTTGTCGTATACTGTACCATGCAACTGATATTGCAGAAAATGTAACAAAATGTGAGTAATTTTTGAATCTTCAACTAAATTGTGATTAATTAATCCTGATTTTAATAGTAACCAAAAGCTTTCCAATCAAACTGTTGGATAGGTTCCATGCATGCTCTGTTGAAATGTGGCCGCTATAAGGAAAGCTCTTAAGCCATTATAAAAGCGTATACAAATAATAAACACTTATCGATGAAAGATGAAAATAATATTCCATTCAACGAGACGAAAGTTAAGTGGAACATTCCATTTCTCACAGAATGATAATTTTCCCATTTATTTTACTGATTTACTGCAAAACAACTAATTGCTATTGAATTATTCATTGAGTTGATTATAAAAAAATGCTCATTCAAACAGTCCAACAAAAAAGATTGATCGAATTAAGTTTCATCGAAGCCGCAAAACCGCACGATGGAGCAAAATGATTGTGTAGTTGAAAAATCTACGTTCTGTTGCACGCAGGGTGTTCACGGGCCTTGAACATCCTGGAAAGTCATTGAATTGGCAAACAAAATTCCAGGACTGGAAAGCCCTTGAAGATCAGCAGAAGTCCTTGAAAGTACCGGAATTAATTTCCTTAACCTCCAGCTGTGCCAACATTAGTGATTTTGATTAAAATTACTGAATAAAGTGAATTATTTATGGCAAATCCGTGCCATTTTCAATCATTTTTTCCCAGTTCTATGCCTTGAATTTACACAAAATGGGCCTTGAATGTCTTGGAAAACTCCTTGAATTTCACCTTCACCAAGGGGTGGACCGTGGACACCCTGTGTGCGTAAATCAAATGAAAATTTCTATCCAATATGTCATATTAATAATTAGGTCACATAAAAAAATAGTTGGTTAGCGTCCTTAGCTTTCGCCAAAAAGTGGGCGGGCTGTTTTTTTTTAAAGTTATACTAATTTTTAACGCTCTGGTTTCAGGCCCGAAACTGGATTTTCTTGCGCAGTACAGATATTTTTTTATATACTTCAAAATATGATTCATGCCGTCATTTTCGCACACAATTTATTGACACAATTGACTACAGTCAACAGAAATACTGCATATATTAGAGCCTGTTGATCAATAAAAGTTGGGATAGACCACATGCTAACATAACGCTCATACTGTATAGAGATTTGTATAAATTCTTAGTAAAGTCTTTATTTTACTATGTTTTGTTAGGTTGAAAGTAATTTCCAACGCATATAGAATCGAATATGTTGTTGTTTAATGTTTATATAATCACAGATTGTAGAAGGGTCATTGGGATATTGTCGTATTTAAACACGACATATCAGTTTGATCAAACATTGTATACGTATTAGAAAAATATAGTAATTTATGATATAGCGCTCGATGATTGGACATATTTTATGATATCAAGTAGTGCAAGAATGAAAACCACGGCCTGTGAAGTATTCTGTTGCGTAGACATATAAGACCTTGTACTGTTGTGTCTGTTCAGTGTGTGCAAATTATTTTTGACACATTAAAATACTTTGTAACTTCTTAGATCTGTTAATGTTTATTGAAAAATGCACGTAAATGTCGTTTACGTATTTTTGTCATATCTGATGTTTTGTATGTGATTAAATGTGTGTATAATATTTCAACTGTGTCCAATTTACTTAATACTTTATTTCAGTAAATCCAGAATTTGACAATAGCGATTAAGGTGGAATAATATGGGTAACAAAATTGCTGCAACTAACAACAAAATCTGATTTCTGTATTAACATGTGTCAACATTTCTATTTAACATGCGTTGAAATCAGATTTTGTTACAAGTTTCAGCAATTTTGTTGCTCGTATTAGTCCAGCTTTAGCAACAATGCAGGCTACCCACATGTACGCAGCGCGTACCTATTTTATAAAATAATAAAATAAAAAAATCCTGAGCGGGGCCTTTTTTGTGGGCGGGCGAGGACGCTAATCAACTATTTTTTATGTGGCCTTAGCCGATGATTCTACGACAATTTGGTACGCATCATAATTATAAGGTATTACATAATAGAGTACGATTTGTGAACGTTCGCTTTAAACAAACGAGTGGGCGCAGCGAACGAGTGAGTTTAGCTATTCTTCGCAACGACAAATTAACAAAAATCGTAAAAAAACCCGATCAAACCATGAAACGATTTGCACAGGGAAATAAAATTCGCAATATACCTTATCTATTTCACTGAAGTTTTATTTTTTTGTTCATGTAGGTCTGCATTAACAACATTAACTGATGATAAGAAACGATGGATTGTCAGTGGAATTGCCCTCAACAATGTTTTGGTTCCCTCCATACGTCCAATATTAGATAAAAAAATTCGGAAGGAATACGATGACAGTTTTGCACATCCGCCATATTCACCAACGCATAAAGGCATGCACTATGAGAATATCAATGCTAATGACCTAAAAAAGTTGAAACCACTACGCTATCCATGGTATAATTACTCCACGTTTGACTACAAAGTTACCTCACATGTTGACTTTGGTAAGCTCTTCCTCCAGATCCATATGGCAAAGTTTAATGCATTTGACGAGACCTGCGATGCGTTTGCTGTCCTCAGTTTGGTTGGCGGAATTCCTGTGTTCCCTCCTGCTCTCCAAACTGCGGCAAATGTTGTTAGAGAAGGTAGAAATGCTTGGGCACACTGCAAGTTTACCGAGTGGGATGAAAGAAACTTCAGGAAGAGATTTGATGACATGAAACAGCTTGTGACTGAAGTGGGTTTATCACTTGCAGATGAAAGTAAAGTCCTAGCAGATCTTAAAGACTGGGAAGATAAAGGTACAGAACTATGTAATAAAAAGCTTCAGATTTGACTTCCACTACCACTATCTCTCATCCACTGGCTTGCATCTAATTGATTAGTCTGATATATCAAACGCATCTGATTGGTCTATGGTCGCTTAATAGTTAGGGTAGCGGTAGTGGAAGTCAAATCTGAACCTCTCAAATATGCATGTTACGTTTCCCTTTGTTGTTGCATGTTTCTATTTATGCACTAAAGACTTGCTAGTATTGCAAGTTCATCTGACTGTATTTGCTATCCGTCGCACCATCTGCAAATCAAAGTTTGTCTTATATTTATATTATTTTATTAACACGTTGCTTAACACTTGAAAAGTTAACTCTTAGTGACGTGTCGGAAATTACCGGGGGGGCGGGGAGGGTGGAGACTTGAAAAAAATAAGTTGAAAAACTTTGACCCACCAGCAAGGACAAGCATGAAATATCTTCAAGAGCAAAAAATTCAAGACCCTTCTATTTTTCTGCTGCGCAAAATTCATACATATCGGGCAACATTTAGATATAGTATATTGTTTTACTTTTTTATAAATATCAAATATAAATATGTAATATTATTAAACACTCAATCTGAATGTATACCAGAACTAGATTCTCTAATTTAATACAACACAATGTCTTGGTCACTTTCGTCCAGGCTATTCTCTTCATGTTCTTCCTCGTTATAGTTCCTGCCGCAGCGTCGTCGCCTGAAGCGACCGAGTAAGGCAGCAGCCCTAAACTTTGAAATACCATAATGCACTCTGGCCGGCTTCTTTAATCCTTCACGTGCGTGTGATGTTCGGTGATTGGTCGGCTTCTTTAATCCTTCACGTGCGTGTGATGTTCGGTGATGAACAAGTGTTTGGCGAGGCAAGTTGTAAATTCGATGCGTTGTGACTGGGTTCCAAAGGCGAGCCTTTATTATAAAGGTTTTTGCTCTACTTTCAACATTTAATGTTAATATTATAACATCACTGTTGCTCTTTATTGTGTCTATATTGAGTGAAATATTCGACATGAGCGCAGATTTCATATCCGATGGTATTACATTTCGGAATTTTAACAACAACATCTTGCAGAGTTACGTCCTAAACAACAAACATCGGCACTCAACGAAAGTTCGTGGTGAGCCAAACCATATTAATATAGCTACGCTGTGTATTTATGTACTTAACAAAATTGTTTCGCATGAGAAACTAACCAGGAGTGAGAAATCGACGCTGTATGATACAGACTTAGAACGCGCAATAATCAGCTTTATTACCTCGGGGCGCGGTACGACACCGGGGTCATAAATTCGGCTCTTTTTTATTTTTTTTTCCATTTTGTGTCGAGCCGTGCGCGTAGTCGAAGAGCCTGCGGAGGAGACGACAACTTCCGGTAAATAAGTGTACTTCCGGGAAATTTCAGGCATCGGTCAAAGCGAAACGGAACCCGAAGCTATCCTTGCACAAAATCCGTCAAAATTGTTGATTTAAAACAAGAAGATGTGATAATTATTATTATTATTATTATTATTATTATTAAATTGAAACCACATTGCAGCCAGAAGCTGAATTGCGTGGATTACATATTATCACATGCACTACATATAAATATATTATTAATACAATATTATAAAACCCACCCTCGATCAAAATTCGATTAAAATAAGCGTAAAATCTATCCTACAAACTTCCTACACATAGCAGGGATGAAAGAGTTATAAAAGCGGTTCGTGCGTGTAACGTACATATTAAAATACCGATTCGTCCTGAAAGAATAATCAGTCTCGTTCTTCGGGGGCAGCAGATGATGAAGTTTATGCATTGGATCCTTGATGATACTCGTAAAGAGTTTGTCACACATGTCCTCTCTTCTTTGAAATAGAGTAGGCAGTCTATAATACTCAAGGGCCTCACAATATGTCATTTCAGGAGATAAAATTTTTAGCACACGTTTCTGGACAGTCTCAAGTTCGTCTGCCAAATACGTTGGGATGGAATGATGGAAGGCTTGCGCACAATACTCGAGCACAGGCCTGATCACTGTACAATAAAAGTTCAAGACATCATTACGCCTGCCCGTTTCAATAATACTATAAAATAGAGGCGTTTATTAGCTTTCTTTATATTCTCTCTGATGTTATCTTTCCACTGAAGTGTGCCTGTCATAACAAGACCCAATATTTTTGCACTCTCAACTATAGGCAATGCTTCTCCACCCACCAGTACAGGATCAAAAGGTTGTTTAACTTTTTTAAAATCGATTCTCAGTTCTTTACATTTCTCAGCGTTAAGAGATAGCCCATTTGCCTTCGACCAATCTTCCACAACATCAACTGCGACTTGAACACGGCTCTCTGTGTCCTTACTAACTACTTCAGCAACTGTTGTGTCATCAACAAACTTCCTCCTCGATATATCACAAATATCAAGATCGTTTATCATTAAACAAAATAGCCAGGGCCCTAATTTTGTACCTTGAGGGATACCGGAAAGTACATCTCCCCACTCCGAATAGCAGTCATTGGATAATTTCACTCTCTGCTTTCGATTCATCAAAAAATCGATTGTCCAGCGAGCAACCGCACGTGGAATAGCTAAATTGGAAATTTTATCAGCCAGTAAAGCATGATCGATAAGGTCGAATGCTTTTCTATAATCGAACAGGATGACTCTGACAGCAGAGCCAGTGCCATCAGTAGCTTGCGACCATTCATGGATCATAGATATAACAGCGAGAGTAGTTGAACTTCTTGGTATTACTCCATATTGACTTGGATCGATTATACTCATGATAGCTGGAGCAATGTATTTTTTAACAACACAGTCCTCAGCGATTTTCGAAATAGCGGCAGTAAGTGAAATTGGTCGTAACTGCTTACAAATGTCGCTAACGGGCTTAGTTTTTATGAGGGGCACAATGTTGGCAAGCTTCCAAGATATAGGTAGTTGTTGTTCGGCATAGCTGCTGTTTAGCACAGCGCATACTGCATGGCTGTGCAAGGATTTCAGCATATTCCTTAAGAGCCCAATTGGGAATTTCGTCAGGACCTGACACCTTTCCACGATTAATTGCTTTCAATAAATGAAAGACTTCCAATTCGTTCACTTGAAAAGAGGAATAATTATCAAAGGGGGGAAGGGTTGACAGTGGATTGAAGGAGTTCATGGGCTCCAAAAAGGCGTTATTAATTAAATTCGCAATGTCAGGACGTTGCATATTCTCGATATCGTCTAAATGAAGTTGACTACATAGGTCATCGGAGCCGGTTGTAGGTACCATACCAGCAATCTGCTTCACCTCTTCCACCATCTCTTCGGTTTGGTCGATTTAAGATTCTTTACTTTTGAAGAGTAGAATTTCGCCCGGCATGTCTTTCGCTCGCGGTTAACCCCGATTCCGGTAATACTTGAACTGAAAGGTATTTCCACTGCAGAAGGCAGCTTGACGCTTCCTTATAAGCTCTTTAAATTCTGCAGTAATCCATGGAGGATCGTGTACATGCAAAGCCGTATTCTTTATTGGCATAATGGTGCTAATACCGAGACGTACTAACTCTTCGAAATACTGGAGTTTCATTTCGCATGTGTCTAAATGATTCAGAGAGGACCAATCGATAGATGTAAGGTATCTTCCAAGCTCATGCCTTTTACTAGATCGTAAATCTCTACTAGAGATAATTCTTCTACTGCATGACTTGGGTTCTCTTTTGCAAGGATTGACAATCACAACATTATGATCTGAAAGACCAAATGGCGGAAATTTTTAGACAGAGTTCTTATCATAAAACGAATGTAAGTTGGTTATTATTAGATCCAAAGTCTGGTTGGCCCTTGTGGAAACGTTAACAATCTGTTTGCAACTGAACTGTGTTAATATCCGATTGCATTTTAACCGATTAAAGTCGCCTGCAAGAATAAAACCACAGCCAGGATAGGTGCTTTCAATAGTAATCAGTGATGTGGAGAGAAATTGGAGCATTTCATCATCATTAGCATTACATTTCATCATCATTTGACATACATGTTTAGATGGATAACTATTCTCGAGTATATGTTGATATAATGTAAAATACTTCGTATGCATTGCATGGGAATACCGCGGCCAACTTTCTCTTGTTTGATACTGCTAAGCATTTTATGGATTGTTCTTACTGTAACTGGTAGACAACAATTTTGCCAACTGTCCACTCATTACATTCTTCGACTGTGGTACAACTATTACTAATGATGGATCAGTTATATGCACCTAATTTTATTTTCGGTACTTTGATATATTTTAAAAATATCTGAAGTGACTGTCGTTCTGCTATGTGCAATCAACAAATAGACTATCATATTGTCTGTTAGTGTTACTAAATACAAGATGAACTAGTGAAGTAGCTATGTATATCATTCACTCGTCCACAAAATATCCCAAATAATGAATAAATACAGTTAAATAATTGCGTCAGTAAATTCTCTAAATTGTTCCTGTATTTAACTATTATCAATAAAATGTTAAAACGGAGCTTTGATTGACTGGTTCACCATTTATACTAGTGAACTATTAAACTATCGTGATTTACACGATTTTTGCATATTTACCAGACGATGCCCTATGCACCGACCCAAGGTTAACGCCTAGCGGGCGTCTTGTTTATCAAAGTTCAGAGGTCAGCTGTCGGCGGTCGCAAAACGTTTGTGTATATACATTTAAAACATTTACAGGTAAACTACGTGAAGCGTTCCTCTTTTGACTTCGTAGCTCATTTGGAATTTTTCTCATTAGCTTTGCAAATTTGAAAAACTCTTTGCAAATCCCTTGAGGGAATTTGCAATATTCCTATCGGCTGTTGCAATATTCCAATGCAAACAAACTTCATTTTAAATTTTCCTAACTTCCTGTTTTAATTTCCTAACTTCCTGTTCTGTTCTGAGCGTTGTTATTGGTCGATTATTTTTGTTAGCCAATTGCAACGCGCAAAACAGAACAGGAAGTTAGGAACTTGTAACAGGAAGTTAAGAACTTCT